ATTTCAACCGCCGCCGCCGCTGCACCCCTCGCGCCTCGCCACGGCCCTGCCCCAAACTGGGTCGGCGAGATCCTGCGCGCCACCTCCTTCATCGCTCCGAGCGCCGTTGCCCTTGCATGTGCATTCCCGACGTGGCTAATCAAATTGATTGTCGTGTAGTCCTTCGCCGCTGAGCTGCCGTCGCCCTTCGCCTTCCTCAACTGCATTGTCCCTCTCTGTCCTCGAACCTCTGCGGGGCCTCGCCCGGCGCCTGCGCCGCGTTGAAAATCTGCAGCAGCGGGGCCGAGGCCGCGTCGATCACCGGCCTCCGCGCCCCGGCAACCGCCCCCGCTGGCGGCCCCCCTTGCGGCCGCTGTAGCGCGGGCCTCCCCTTCATGTTTGGCAGCTCCATGGTGCTCCTCTTTACTTCGTTGCAGTCGCGCGGGCCGACCCTGCCGCCACCTCTGCCCGCGCCGCCCGCCCGCCGCGGGGAATCCTCAATCCGTGTCGCCTGACCATCGCGCGCTTCGCATATGCCCTGGGCGCGAACCCGCCCATCGCCCGCCGAGTCGGAGCATGGCAACCCAGCGCTAGGATCTTTCACTGTCATTCGAGGGGTGGCGGGCATCGAGGCTAGCTTATTGGCACTCGTGCGGAGCCCCCCGAGGTTGCGCTGCCCCGCTGCGCTCCTTGCCACATCCGCCAGGGCAGCCGTCCTCTGTCTCTTCTCGCTCCTGATCGCAGCCGCCGCCGCCTTCGCCGCCGCGTCGAACCTCTGCTGGAGCACGTGCCTCAGCCACCTCGAGCCATCAGGAAGGGCTGCCAGCTGTCCCTGCCCGCATCGCCTCGTCTTGATCAGCTGCACCGTGGGCTCGCTGAATGCTGGGCCCGAGCCCCCCCCCCCGCGTGGGATTTTTCAAATACTACCTCAAGACCCCCATGCACAAATGGCTCCACAACGGGAGACAGAAGACCACCGGGCAACCCGGGAATGTCACGCGAGACATCGCCAAGAGCGCACGCATTGGAGGGGGAAGGAGAGGAAAACGGAGAAGGCAGCGGACGGCAAACACGAAGAAAGAAAGAAGAGAGAGGACGAGCCAAAAGAACAAGCAGAGCAGCGGCGGAGAACGGACGGAGCGAGACTGCCGGCTACGCTACGCTATCCCCGGTCTAACAAGTCGGCATAGTGCACAACATCCAAACCGAGCGTCACGAAGGACGAGAGCTCGTGGGTGCGGAGCCCCCCCCCCCGCGTGGGAGGGAATATGTCGCCCTGCAACGCCGCGTCAATAACTGCCCCATCCTTCACATCAAAATACACCGAGGGAGACTCGCACCGCTTCCCCACCCCTATGTCAGCCCAGCCCGCCTGCAGCCCCTTTTCCTCGATGCCCTCTCGCACAATCGCCCGAAACTCAAGTGAGCGACGCGGAAGCTGCACGCTCCATCGAAATATTCCGCCTGCTGCATTGCCACAAGACGGGCCAACACTAGTTTTCTGCGCCACCCGTCTCGGGCTGTTGGCCGCGGGCGGGGGTCCTGGCGCCAGCGACAATCCGCGTCTCCAGCGGCATGTGGCCCCTGTAGCCACCAAGTCTGACTGGGAGGTCGAGTCTCGGTCGCGATGAATGCCCGCACCCTCCGAATCGGCGCACCAACACGTGCTCAATCGTGGTCCACTTGCCCTGGGGGCTTCGCCAAAGTGCCATTTAATCTGCCTTCTCTACCCTTCTTTTCCACGCGTGTTGGGGGCCATCATTCCGAAATCCTCAATCGACCCCATCGAGACATGACCATTGCCGCTGATCTGCGGCCCAGCCCGTCGCACCCCGGCATGCCCCACCCATGGCAGGAGCAGCGGCACATGGGCATTGGCGTCCAGAGCGACAGCAAAGGCCGATCGAGCGGGGACCTGGCTGACTGCACTACGGCACACCTGCCAGAAGCGGTCTCGGGACACCAAGTGCTTTTCGCAGTGCTCCGTGGCGTCGGCGCCCTTGGGCGGATGGCCAACCTCGTTGGTGGGGGCGTAGCCGTTCAGGACATAGAAGTCACGTTCGAACCGTCTGCTGCAAAGAGTTCCTGATCCTGACACCCTGCAACTTCCTGTCAAGCCACGCGTGCTCGCATAGAACTTCACCCGACCTGAAGAAAGTAATGCTGATCGCGATGAAGCAGCCGTCCCGTTGACGTTTGCCCGACCTCGCCAAGGAACGCACCTCGTAGTTGCCCGCCTTCCATGTTTTTCTCAAGTTTATCTGCGTGCCCTGCATCGTGAAAACCGCTACGTTCTCATTCAGTCTCGACTAGCTACAACAACTCGTCCATCCTGCCCACCCTGCGCAGCGATTCCACGTTGAAGCTCCACACCTTCAGCGCCCTCGCCTTCGATAGGGGATTTTACCACCTTCAGGGCACCATCCTCCTTCGTTTGTCCTCGAGCTTCAGCTGGTACTGTCGGCAGCTGGGCCACCGAACCCAGCACTTCGGTGGGAGCCTGCTGCGCGGCTGCTGCACGTGTAATTTTCTCGTGATGCCACGCTGCACCCGCCATCAGCGCGAGCCCCACCGCTCGCCTCAAGGCACGCTGGCCACGCATGACCCTTACGCACGCAGCAACGTCTCTGGTACTGGCGCCGCCGTCCTCGTGGGTCGGGCCCCCCGCGAACGCTCACCTCGCAGTGGTCGGTGGAAGCTGCCCCCCCCGCCTCAGCGTCCAACGACCGCCATGGCGCGGCCGACGCGGGATAGCGCAGTGGCCAAGACTTGCTACCTGGCACGACCGCCCGCTGCGACGAAACCGTCTCGAACCGACGAGGCTTCGACTTTTGCCTCCGCCGGCCGAGCCGCCGCAGTTTTACTTCTGCCGCCTTCCGTCAGCCTTCCGCCGCCTTCCGTCACTGAAGAGATAGTAACTCGCTCGATCCTCGAAGGCAAGGCCCTTCTTGGAACGCCTCAAATGAGAGAACGCTTCTCGAATTTCGCGCAGCGGGCATGGGCAGCGCTTCCAGCATAGCCCGCGACAGACAGCGCGTGCGGCAGAGGGCCAAAGCGGGCGCATGCGCACACGCACGCACACTTTCAACGTCCGCGGGCTAGTGAAGCGTTCAAGTGGCGGGTGATGAAAGCACACGTGGCGCGGCAGAGGCAATCCGCTCGCGCGCTCTAGTAGCTGGGACAGAGCGTACGAGCTGTCGTGCTCCAAAGAACAAAAGGGAGGAGGGCGGCCGCGGAGCGGGAGGAAGGAGGAGGGCACGCACTGTACGAAGAACTTCGGCATGAACGGCTGGTGCGGCGGACCGTTGCTGGGGCGTCCGGGCACGCGCGCACACACACACACACACACACACACACACACCATTTTTCCAAGGAAAACACGTGTGGAACGAGTCGCTAAAATCATGCCCGAGTCGGCGCGACAGAAAGAAAGAGAGAGAGAGAGAGGACGACAGCACAGGACACGCCAGTCCATAAGGGGAGCGCCCAAGCCTGCGACCGAAAGAGAAGCGCCCAAGGGCCTGGTCCTTAGACCGCGAATCACCCTGCTCGGGCAGAACCGCTGATGGAGCCCGTGCCACTCAAGGTCATGCAATTGTAATGAGCCAGGCGACACAACGAAGACCGCTGCCAAGGACTCAATACCCAAACCGCAGGCAGTGGATCAAGCCGCGTATGGGCGTGGGTGTGTTTATCAGTTGCAGCGAGATGCGCGGCACCGATGGGGGTGACATATAGAATACAAACAGAAGACCGCACCCCTCCACTACATCCTCGACGTCCTCGACATCCTCTGGCCCTCTTTACTCGTCGCCACTGCCTTCACCGTCCTCCTCCTCCGCATCCTTCTCGTCCTCGCCTTCCTCATTCTAAGTCACTCCTCGCCCGAGCCTGGCCTTCCAATGGGCGCTGAGTCCAGCGCACCTAAGACTGGCATAGCTGCCGCAAGCCTGTGAGCCGCCCACCAAGCTGGTGCGACACACCAGTGGTATGGCAGGGCGAGGCGGCAGCAGCAAGAACAATTCAACTATGTCGGGCGCCTTCGAACGAGTGGAACGTGTAGGCTGGTGATCAACGGGGAGTGACCCTGCGGCCTGCGCCACGAGACTCAGCACGGCACGACCGAGGGCTTCACTCTGACCAGGAAGCATCGGGGCGATCTGCGAAGTTGATGCGCCCAGTGGAATACTCCACAGTCTGGGCTTGCGATTTTCTCGACATCGCAGCTGGCGCACCTGTTCTACTTCCACTGCCTCCATTGCTATTACCATACTGGGGATGTACTCAAGAGGCTCACATTGGTGCAGGCAGAGGCGCCATCTCATCGGAAATGGGCACCACACGAAAACCTGTCGGCTTCAAGAGAGCCCACGGGGTGAACTTGCTATCCACTATGCTACCCGGTCGCTCGACTCTGGTTCTCAAGGTGGTGACGCTTGTATTCAGGGCCTCTAGCTTCCTGTGAAGCACCGCTGCAAGGGCCCCACAACTGCAGCAGGCAGTCTTCGGAGCTGTGGCACGGCGGGCACCCCACAGCAAGGTTGCCCGTCACGCATTGACGATGGGGCCCCGCCCTCGCAAACCTCTCGAGAATCCTATTCCTTCTCCTCGTCCTTCGCCTCCAGCTCTTGTGCTGCTGCTGATCCCAATCCTCCTCCTACTCCTCCTTCTCGGCGTCTTGCCCCTCCTCCTTCTACTTCTCCTCATCCTCCTCGTCCTCCTCATCCTGCTCATCCTTATCCCCTCCCCTTGACTCCATCTGCCCTTCTTCCCTGTTGTGGTGTCTTCGTAGTTGTCCTCCTCCTCCTCCTTCTCCTCTTCCTCCTCATCCTCTCCTCTATTGTCCTGTTCCTCCTCATCCTCCGCTCCTCCTCCTCCTCCTCCACCTCCTCCTCCTCCACCTCCTCATCCCTCCCTCCCTCCCTCCTTCCCCCCCTCCCTCCCTCCCTCCCTCCCGTCCTCCTCATCTCTGTTCCAGCTGACGGGGAGCACCGAACGAAATGCAAAAAGAAACGCATCACCCATCAGGCAGAGGAGCGTCAGCACGACGATCTTGAGCCTGGGACGAGGCCCAACGGGGAATAATGGAAGTAATGCTTCCAGGCAGGCGCAACAGAGGAAGAGGAGCAGCATGATAAGAGAAGGGGCAGCAGCAATATTATGATGGGAGAAGAGTAGGAATCTGCCGATGGTGATGGGGGCCAACAGCATGAGGAGGAGGAGGAAGAGGAGGAGGAGGAGGACGAAGAGGATGCATGGGAATGATGGGCCAAAATAAGGTCGATGAGCACGCAACGATAATGATATGCCCGCGTATTTACACGGTTGGACGGGCACATAGAAGGATGAGCCAGATGCAGGGAGAAGGCAACACACATACAAAATGGTCATCGCCGCTTCTTTCCATGGGCAGACGAGGAAGGACGGGAATGGTCCGCCGCTGCTGCTTCTCTGCTCCGCTGCTCCTCCTGCTCCTGATCCGCGGCCTCTCTGTCCTCCTCCTCCTTCTCTTCCTCCTCCTCCTCCTCCACCACCTCCTCCTCGTTATCCCCTTCCTCTTCGTCCGCACTTCCGTCCCCGCTTCCCCCCTCCTTGCGCACCAGGGTGGCCACCAGAAAATCGCAACGACCAGGGCATCATAGCGCGCAAGCCATAGGATAATATGGCGGCCACCAGACAATCACAAACCAATCAGCGTATGGTACATGACATGAGGCAACACGCGTAGGCCACCAGGGCGGCAACTAGAATATCGCTACAGCCATGACGCCACAGGGCGCCCACCACAGAGCACTCGTAGCGCACCAATCATAGGGCACCTACGCTGGCACAAGAAAAGCGCAACATCGAGGACAATTTTCTACCGAGCCGAACAAGCATCCCCGAGTGCGGGCACCGTTTGGTAAACGAAACTGGCGTGAGCTGAGCTCAACTAAAACACTTCATAGTGGGGCCAAGTTGGGCCGTATTGGGTGCCTCTGGTGCGTCCTGGGCGCTCTGAGGGTCGAAGGCGCGAGTACACAATGCGGAAACCATACAGAGTACCGAACTCTTTTCTGACCACGCGGGGATTATAGCCAGGACTGTTGACTTCGAACTACTGCATTCTAAACGGCGCGCAGAACACTAAACTGCTCAGTTCGCACACACCCAAAGAGCCGCGAGGCCTCGTTCGGGTGTGCGTGGGACACCACCCCTCTGAAGCGCGAAATCTCGCTTGGGTGTGCGTGGGGCACCGCTCCGCTGGACCTCCCATGAATTCAGCCGAGTCGCGGCAACTGCGCAATTCTCTGCCCCCGTCCCCCCTCCCAAGGAGCCGTAAAGTCTCATGTAGGCTTGCGTGGAGCACTTCCCCGCTGGACCTACCAATAGCCCACACGCGTGGCGACAATTGCCACAGTTCGCCCCAAGGAACCGCGAGGTCTCGCCTGGGCCTGCGTGGGACACCACTCCGTTGGACCTCCAAGGGGCCCACGAACGTGGCAACGGCTGCGCTGTTTGCAGCCCCCTCCACCACCCGAGGGCGCCGCGAGGGATGCTTGGGTGCGCGCGGGGCACAAGTCCGCAGGAACCCCCATGCGCCCAAGTAAATTGAAGCGGTTGCGCAATTCGCTGCCCGCTCCCCTCCCAGGAAGCCGCGGGGTCTCGCTTGGGTCTGCGTTGGGCAACTTCCCGCTGGATCTCCCAAGAGCCCAGGGTCTTGGCGACACTTGTCTCAGTTTGCCCCGTGGGGCACCACCCCGCTGGACCTTCTGTGACCCAGCGAAGCTGGCAGCAATTGCGCAGTTCGCAGCCCTCCAAGGAGCCACGAGGTCTCGGTTGGGTCTGAGTGGGACACCACTCCCTTGGACCTCCCAGGAGCTCACACGGCGACATTTGCACAGTTCACTGCCCTCCCCCGCCCCCAAAAGAAGTCTCGCTTGGGACTGCGTGGGGTACCACCTTCATGTGCCGCGAGGTCTCGCTTGGGTTTGTGTTGGGCACCACTCGGCCCCCCAAGCACTCACGAAAATGGCGACGGTCGCGCAGCTTGCAACCCCTTAATGAGCAGCGAAGTCTCGCCTGGGTCTGCCCCTCAGGAGCTCACGAAAGCGGCGACAATTGCGCAATTCGCGGCCACCCAGGGAGCCGTGAAGTCCCACTTGGATCTGCGTGGGGCGGTTCTCGTCGGGCCCTCCTGGGCCGTTACGTACCTTCTCTTCGGCCTTTGTGGGGCCCTCTGGGGGATTCACCGTCGCTTCTTCGATTTTCATTTCGTCCTGCTCGATTCGTCCTGTTCGATCCGTCCGCTGATCATTTCGTCCAATTGCAACTATTCGTCTGCTGTTCTTCTTGTCTGGTTGTTCTTGGTCCGCTGTTAATTTCTTCTGGATTCCCTTCGTCCGGTTTTTGTCCGGTTTCAACTCTCGTCTGGTGTCAATTCGCCCGCTCGAAACGCGCGCGCCGGTCCGCTCCACGCGGGTTTCGAGCGGGTTTCGATTCGTCCTGGCCTAATTCGTCTGGTTTCGATTCGTCCGATTTCGCTTCGTATTGTTGCAAATCATTCAATTTCAGTTTGTCCTCTTCGACTCGTCCTGTTCAAGTTGTCCAGTTCAATTCGTCCTGTTCGAGTCGTCCGCTGTTCATGCCGTATCGTTTCAAGTCGTCCAGTGTTCATTTCCAGTCGGTTTGAATTCACGCGCTGTTAAGCTCGTTCAAATACAACTAGTCCGGTTTCAATTGCCCGCTCGAAGCGCGCTCGCCAATCCGCTACGCGGGGGTTTCCAGTGGGTTTCGATTCGTCCCGGCCTCAACTCGTCCAGTTCGTCTGGCTTTAATCCACTCGTCCGGCTTCAATTCGTCCGGTTTCAATTCGTCGGGTTCCAACTCGCCCGCTCGACGCGCGCTGGCCCGCCCCGCGCGCATTTCGAGCCAGCGAAAACGACGCCAGACTTAACGAAAGAGGACAAAAGAGAAAAAACGAAACGAAAGCGGGCGACCGCCATGAAGAAAGCAGGGAAGGAACTAGAAGGGAAAGGAGGAAGAAGAGGACGACCGCCATGACGCCTTTCAGCATGTGCGTGAACTCTCGGAGGCCCACGCATATTTATTGGATCGGCACTGGAGAAGCGCCCCGCGCCGCCGGCGCCGCGCGCCCGGGAGGGGAAGCCACCGCCGATCCAATAAATCAGCGCGGTCCTCCAAAAGTTGCGTCGGGCCAGCTACGGCGTGTGAGCGGTTGCCTGCGCGCCGTAATCCGACAGGACGGCGCGCGAACCCCCAAACAGTGAGAGACGCACAGAAGGCCGAGTGCTAGCACAATGCATTTGTGCCCAAACAGACCAGAGCAAACCAGATGATGAGCATGTGGTAGACCTGCATGCCCTTGTGTACACGACGGCGCCACACCCTGATGCCATTGAACCCCCCTTACGTACTGAATTGTGAAACATATTGTCTGCATTGTGGGACCCGAAGATGCGTATGTGCAACAATCGTAATGTGCCAAGTCGACGAGCAGCAAGCGCACGAGCCTCCGTGGCCTCGTTTGGGGTCGGCGGCAGAGGCGGTAGCCTTTCGATAGCGAAGCGAAGCAAGAGTAAGCGAACGACCACGAAACGAGACCAAACGAAACGAAAGTAACCTTACGTCCTTTCGAATTCCATATATCACCTGGCCACCGTGCCCTGACGCACGAGTTGGAAAGTCCTCAGGCCCCTTCGGATCCTCTGTATTGAACACTGTAAATATCCGATGGCCATCTTGTTATAAGCTGTTTGCCCCTCTTGACCTCCAGGGAACCCCAGATACCTCAAGGGGGAACACAAGAAGGATGCGAGAGTAAGGAGGGGGGGCAACGAAGCGAACGAGGACGAAACGCAAGAAGACGAAACGAACAAGAACGAAGCGAAACAGAGCGCAACGAAAGATAACGAAACGACGACGAAAGAAACAACACATGACGAAGACTACGATGACCATGGCGACGGCAGCGGCGGCGACAAAGACAACAAGCACAACCACAACAACCAACACCACCACGCGATAGCGACAACGGCGTCACAGACAACGAATTCAATTCGTCTAGTGTCAAACCATCTGGTGCACATTCGTCTGGTGGTCTGGTGTCAATGCACCTGGTGTCAATTCGTCCAGTGTCAGTCGTCCGGTGTCGATTAGTTGTGGCCTCAATTCGTCCGCTGTCAATTCGTCTGGTGTGATTCGTCTGGTGTGAATTCGTCCCGTGTCAATTCGCCGCATAGTGTCAAATCGTCCAGTGTCAATCCATCCGGTGTCAATTTGTCTGGTGTCGATTCGTCTGGTTGCAATTCGTCTGATATCCTCGTGGAGCACCACAGAGCAAAGCAATCCACCACAGCGAGAGCAAGCGAAACGGAAATGGACGAATGGAAAAGTAAACGAAACGAGAACGGACGAAACGAAAAGAACAAAACGAACGGCGGACGAAACGAAAGACGCCGAAACGGAAGTGGACGAAACGAACGGCGGCCGAAATGAGCGGAAGACGAAACGAAAGAGGACGAAACGAAAGAGGACGAAACGAAAAAGGACGAAACGAAATAGGACGAAGTGAAAACGGACGAAATGAACGTCCACCCCTCTGGGGGGAGTCGTGGGCAATCTTGGAGCGACCTTGGGGCCTCCTGAGCCGTCTTGGAAATCTAAGACGAGAAGCCCATCTGCTAAACATGGACGCTTTCCATCGGGTTTGGGACGATGTTTGTCTCTTGGGGCCCTCTTGAGGGTTGTCTCGGGGCGCTCTCTTGAGGCGCATTGGCTGTCTTGAACATATCCTGGGCTGTCTTGGAAAGCTCTCGGGCCGACTCAGATTCCTCTTGGACCGTCTTGGGGGTCTCTCGGGGCGCTCTGGGCGCCTCTGAGACCCCTCCTGCTGACGGAAATCTGCCAGTGAGCTCCCACGGAGGCCACGGAGGGCCATGGCACCGCCATGGAGTTCGAGATCGCTGGGCCAAGGGGGGAGGTCCAAACCCCGCCTCCCAGGATGTGAGTATGTATGGATGTGTGTATGTATACATTTATAGCATAAAAATTTATGCCGTTCTGTGTATTATGCACATACCTCTGTATGTATACATGATTGGGTGTATATGTGTATATTGTTGTCGACATGCGTACATACACACAGGTGATTCCGTACACGTATGTATATAAATACATACATGTGTATATCGATGTATGTAAAAACATATACACGCCGCGTTCTCGATTCGGCGCCTCTCGGATAGTGCCAGTATTCCATTGTTTTAAATCGAACACGTTCGCTTCCATCGCAAACACAATGCGGTTAGGCATACTACATGGTTGAACATGAATGCGTCCGCTGGGTACAAGTCATTCGAAATAGAATGCTCTCGACATTAGAGTCCAGCAGCTCCTGTAGCAAAGCCACCGGTTTAATGATTTTCGCCGCCTCCTGGATTCCTGAAGCTCTGGTAGTGCCATAGGGGGGTATCACCGTTCCAGCCGCCCATGGTCCTGAATTGTTGCACGCCGACTGGGCCTCAATATTTTGACGGCCGCTGCCACTACTTGACAGGTAATGCCCGACCGCCATGCTGCGGAATGGACTTGGGGCGCGAACTTGTATTGCAGCATCAGTGCTGCACGCCAGGTTCACTCTGGACCTCCCCTTCCTCCTGCCACCTTCTGCTTGTCCTTCTCCTGACTCTCCCCCTCGTCGATGCTCCTTCTCATCCTCCTCCTCCTGCTGCTCGTGCTCGTGCTGCTCCCTCTTGTCTTTCCCTGTCGTCTTTTCCCTCGGATCCTCCTCCTCAACTCCCCCGCCTCCCCCTTCTTTCCTCCTCCTCCTCCTACTCCTGCTCGCGATCATGTTGCTGATCCTCTCGTCCTGACCCTCACCCACATTGTCATCCATCCGCTACCCCATCCTCCTCCTCACCCTCCTCCTCGTCCCCCTCCCGTAATCCACTTACCATCCACCATTCACCCATCCGCCCCGTCGTCCGCCTGCCCACCAAACCATCCGTTCGTCGTTGTCCCTGCTCTGTGCAAGTCCCTCCCTCGTGCCCACCCCGGCTGCTTCCTCCCCGTGGCGAGGCATGCCCCTGCTCTCGCTGGCAAAGCTCTGTCATCCCCAGGAGGGTAAGACCTTACGGGTCTGACCCTCACAGAGACCGATACGCGGTCGCTCTCCTCCTCGTTCTTTTACGGCCTCCCCTCCTCGCTCTCCCTCAATGCTGGTTTGTGTCGCTAGTCCTGCTCCTGCTCCTGCTCCTGATTCTCCTTCCGGAATCGCTGTAACTGCATCTGCAGCTATCGACCCCCACTATTTTCAGCTAGCTCGGAGGCACACGTCTACGGTAGTGTTCAACAACAGGGCGTGGCAATCAACGCCCGCTTTCCGCAGCACCTCTGCGTTGACCTCGTCTGCCTCGGCGCGCCATCCTTGACCATCTGCCTTTCAAATCTCCAGATCTGATCCTGTCGTCCGACCGTCTTCAAGCCAAGTGTCGATCAACGTCTGCGGAACTGATCTGGCGTGAACGCTGACCTCCCACGAACCCCTCTGGCCCTCCCCCTCCACTCGTCCACTGCCTGCTGTCCATTCTCCTCCTCCTCCTCCTCCCCCTTCTCTCCCTCATCCTCCGCCCCTTATCTTCATTATCCTCCTCCCCCTCCTCCGTCTCCCCCTCATCCTCCGCTCCCCAATTTTTCATTATCCTCCTCCTCCTCCTCCTCCTCCTCCTCCTCCTCCTCCTCCTCTGGCCGTCCTGCAAACGCAGAATATTGAGCTCGGTCCGCCCTGCCGCCGACAAGACCAAACTTACGTAACACCTGCGCCTCTCCTGGGCCAGCACGGAGAGCCACCTCACAGCTGCAAGCCCCGAGAAGCAGGCCCGCACCCCGACATGTTCGGCATTCAGCGCTCTTCCGAAGGTGCGCGGGGTGCGCACACGTTGTGTTGGGCGCGCTCCGATCCTCGGCTCGGCAACAAGATACGAGTCGATTGACCGAGGAACCCAGAGCCGACGGGATGGGGATGAGGACAAGGGGAGAGGGGAACTGGGCGAGAGGCAAGCCTGTTGCGCTCGCGCCATATCTGACATCATCTGACATCCTACCCCTCCCACCAAGTTCGTCTCATCTGGGTCCCCCTGATGATCCCACTGTGTGATGCGCACTCAGAAGCGGAAGTTTCGCGAATTGGGGAAAAGGAGGAGGTGGCGGATGGGCAAGATAATGATCAGGAGGAGAGGGATTAGGAGGACGGATGAGGAAGATCGGCAGCAGTATGACGTAGGCGCAAGATCAGGAAGCGGACGGCGGACGAAGGGGGGGTGACAATGACGACAACCACAACGCTATTCCAGACGACAGAGGAGAAACGCACCCGTTCTGAAATGTGGCCAACGCTGCAGCGGGAGCACCATGGTTGAAGGACCGAACACGTACTGATCGAACAACACCACAATAACGAACACTCCACATGATCCTGTGCGAATAAGGCATGAGCGGAACAGTCTGGGGAGCAAAATCAGACATACGCAAGGAAGCTCTGATTCTACGGCTCAGACGGTGAAACTATTGAAGGGGACGAGGGAAGCGGGGATATGGAAGAGGGAATCATGAGCGGGGAAAAAGGGAGGAGATGGGACAAGAAAAGAGCATGAGGAGGCAGAGAAGCAGAAGCAGGAGGAGGCAGAGAAGCAGAGGCGGGGATGAGGATGGGGGGGAAAGGAGGAGGAATCACAATACCAGGAATAATCGAAGGGGGGGATGAGGAGCAACAGTGACGGAGGAGTCACACAAACAACAGTTTTAAGGAAGGACGATGGGGGACAGGGAAGAAGACAAAGGCGGATGACGATGAACATGTGACTGATGATAATGCTGCTGCTGATGATGAAGATGATGGTGGTGACGACGGTGATGGTTCCCCAATCAGAGCTTGCCTCTGTAGAGGTCCTAGCGAATTCACATGGTTAGGTGAGGTTTGCCACCGATTTTCGCGGCCCGCACGGGTGCCCGAGTGCCCGACGTGCCCGGGTGCCTTGTAGCCCTATAGCCCTATAGCCCTATAGCCCTACAGTCCTATAGACCCATAGTCCAACACCCCTGTAGCCCTAGAGCTCTACAGCCCTATAGCAGTGTAGCCCTATAGCCCTATAGCCCTGTCGCCCTATAGCCTTATACCACTATAGCCCTATAGACCTATAGCCCTAGATCCCCATAGCTCTCTAGCCCTATAGCCCTATAGACCTATGCCCCATAGCCCGATGGCCCTATAGCACTGTAGCGCCATAGCCATACAGACTCATAGCCCTGTGGCCCTGTAGCCCTACAGCCCCATAGCCGCAGAGCCCTATAGCCCTATAGCCCTACAGCCCTACAGCCCTATAGCCCTATAGCCCCATAGCTCCATACCCCTATATCCCTATAGCCCTATGGCCTTATAGCACTGTAGCCTTGAAGCCCTGTAGCCCTATGGCCCTATAGCCCTACAGCCCCATAGCCCTATAGAGCTATAGCCCGATAACTCTATACCCCTGTATCCATATAGCCCTATAGCCCTGTAGCCCTGTAGGCCTGTAGCCCTGTAGTCCTATAGCCCTATAGCCCTATAGCCCTATAGCCCCATAGCCCCATAGCCCCATAGCCCCATAGCCCCATAGCCCTATAGCCCCATAGCCCTATAGCCTCATAGCCCTATATACCTCTAACACTATAGCCCTATAGCCTGATAGCCTTTATCGCCCTATAGCTCTGTAGCCCTATAACCCTGCCTATAGCCCTACAGCCCATAGCCCTATATCCCTATAGCCCTGTGGTCCTATAGCGTTGTAGCCCCATAGCCATCTAGACTCGTAGCCCTATGGCTCTATAGTCCCATCGCATTCTGGCCCTACAGTCCTACAGCCCTATAGCCCTATAGTCCTATTGCTCTATAGACCTATCGCCCTGTGGCCGTATAGCCCTATAGTTCCATAACCCATATAGCCTCATAATCCCATCGCCCTATAGCTCAATAGCCCCATAGCCCTAAACATACTTTGATTGGGTGTTTCTCCGGTCTCATAAAAGTAAGAATGATGCAGACAGAGGAGGAGGAGGAAGAGGAGGGGGATGGGGAGAAAAATAATGATGATGATAATGATGATGAGGAGGAGGAAACGGAAGAGGAGGAATATGAGGATGGATGAGGAGGAGGGGGAGAACGACGACCACGCGGGGGAGGGGGGGGACGGTGAGGAAAAAGAAGAACAAAACGAAGGCGGCGGGTGAGCAAAGGGGGGGGGGAGCAGAAGGAACGAGGAGGACGAGGCCGACGAAGACGACCAGCAGGGGAAGGTCGAGGACGGAGAGGACGCCGCCGGTCGATGCGGCGGGCAGATCCGAGGGGCCGCTGGCGGACGCCATGCTCGGAGGCGCCGCGGATTCCGCCGCCCGCCGGCGCGGCAAGGGTAGGCTTTCGGGGGAGAGGCCCGCGGCGAAAGCAGGACAGAGAAGACGATCAGGGCAGAGAGAGAGAGAGAGACAGAAAAAGACAGAGAGAGAGATAATATAACTGCCTGGACGCAGGTGTATATTATCTATAGCTAATCATACATCATAGGAAACACACGTGTATATCTGTCTCACTTTCTCTTTCTCTTTCTTTATTTCCTTATTATTATTTTCTCTCTCTCTCTCTTTTTATCGCTCTCTCTCTCTCTATGTATATCGCTCGTACCACAAACGGGAATCCACACGGGGTCAACAGAGGCCTACTCGGGTACCCTATTAAATTCCACGAGAGCAAACGCCGCTCTCCGAATTTCAATAAGATGATCCGCCCACCCCTCCACACTGGGTGGCGGCTGGAGCACGCGCACAGTGTTAAACATGTGATAAACAATCACGATGGCTTCCACGATCTCCAAACTGGGGGCACCCCCGAGACCAATCCTAGTGCACAAACATACTTGTGGAGAGACCCCTCCCGGGAAGGCAAGACTCCACAACACTACAGCACTCCGCGCTGCAAATCATGGGACAAAAGGTGCCACGGGCAGGAATGAGCGGAACCTCGCGACAGCGAGACTTGCTCTGCTGTGCCCCTTTTCGGCGTATGCAAACCAGCGGAGGTCAGCCAAGCGCCAGAAATCGTCTCAACCACAGGGCTCTGCCACGACGGAGTGACCTTCGCCGGGAATTCACGGAGGGGAAGCCACGTCCCTCGAACAACCTGGAGGCCCAATGATCTCTGTCGCCGCTCCAGGAGGAGGCGGAGGACATCAGGAAAGAGAGAGGCATGAAGAGAAGCAGCGAGCATATTCTGGGCCCGCACTCGATTGTGACGCGAGCACGCGTGCGCAAATTTGACTCCACGGCCGTTGCTCACTCGCGCGCCCCCGCCCCCCCCACCCCCGCCCGGCGCAAGGCTTGCCGCGCCGCGGCGGCGGGGCGCGCAAGCAGGGGCTCATTCGCGCGGCCATCCCTGGGGCTGAGCACGAACGGTTCGGCCCCCCAGAAGGTCGGTGACAGGCGCTGCAAGCCGGTGGCCTGGAGCGTCGCGTGGCTGGTCACCTGCTCGCGGATCCGCGCGAACAGCAGCTCTCAGTTCGCGACGGCGATGCGAGCCGCCCGCGTCATCGAGGCGATGCCCGCCGCCAGTGTGGATCGGACCCGAAGGCCAGGCGACCGCGAACCCACCGAGATGAAATCGTTTCGAGCCAGCGCCTGGGGCGGCATGTGCCAGATCTCGGCGATCGCCCACGCCTCCTTGGAGGACAGGAAGCGGGGCGCGGCCGCCAGCTGCTGCAGGCAGCCCAGCACAGGGTAGGCCCGCTGGTCGCACAGGCGCGCGGCGATGAAGGGCGGCGAGCCGCTCGAGGCCAAGTCCAGCACCCGCGCGACCCACTTCGCAAAGGCCTTCCTCCAGATGTCGACCTCCGTGGCGCCAGGGCCGATGATGAACCCGATGTGCTCGGCCTTGTCCTTGTGCTCGGCCGATGTGCTCGGCCAGACCAGGACGGGAGATGCGACTGGAGCCATGGCCGCAGCTCCGCGACCATCCCCTCGGGGAATTCGTCGTCGAACGGGATCAGGACGCACTCGTGGAACTCGGGATGTGGGCCAGAAGGGGCCCTCGCCGCCTCGAACGCCCTCCAGTGGCCCAGCGGGGGCCGACGGGGCTGGGGGGCGATGCCCGCGTCGTCGGCGCGCGCGCCGAGCGCCGGGGGGGGGGCCCTGTCCGCGCCGCGCATCATGCGGTGGATGAACAGGTTCATCGCGATGGCCCGCGCGCTGCCCGATGAAGGGCAGCCCTGCGCCAACCCGCTGGGGACGCAGGCGAAGTGAACCATCGCGCCGGCGAGCTGCGCGCGCGCGCCGTGGGGAGCCAGTAGAGCGAGAGCAGCGCGTGCAACATGCCGCCCTCGAAGCCCGAGAAGACGAGCATCCCCGCCATCCACTCTGCCGCGAGCGACGGGGCGGCGCCCCCGAAGTCGAAGAGAGCGAGCAGCGGCTGCGAGACGGCCTCGTCGCCCTGGAAGTCTGCCGCCGGCGCGGCGGCGTCCGACAGCGCCACGTTGTCGAGGAAGTTGCGGCCCCTCAGGAAGCCGCGCTGCGGTGCGTGAGAGGCGCTCTCCGCGGCGCCCTCGACGCTGGCGTTGGCGGCAGCGGCGACCAGCTTGCAGTCCGGGCTCTTCAGGGCGGTCGCGCGCGCGGTGCTAGGCGCGCGGCACGCGCCATCCACGACGTCCTCCTCCAAGGAGCCCTTGGGCAGGAAAGCCATGCGGCGGTCGTTCCAGTCGACGGGCGGGACCTCGCCCATCGCGACCTCCAGGGCCGCGCCCTCCAGCGCGCAGATCGCAGCAGGGCAGCAGCGCCAGGCAAAGTGCGACAGACCGTCGGGGCAAGGGGCGGGCTCCTCAGCACGAGCAGCGGCGCGCGTCAGCGCGAACCTATCGGGCGGCAAGATCCCCTCCACCGGTAGCTTAGGCGCGTGCTCCTCCATGCACTTCAGAGCCAGCCGCTTCCAACCGTCCACCTGCGGCTTGATCTGCAAGATGGGGGCCCAGTGGCCGCGCAACGCCTCGATCATGTCAGAGTGTTCGGTGAGAACCTTGTTGCCCGTGTCGTCGAGAACCTGGACGGTTTGCAGATTGAACGTCCTGCCGGAAGGCGACCAGAAGGCAGCGCGCCTGTTCAGCTTCCCGCGCGTGGCGTTGATCACATTGAAGGACGACGCGTCGAACACCCTGGCCTCCCGCTTGGCAAGTGCGACGGCGAGGGCCTCGAAGTGCACCTGCTGCTCCTGAGCGAAGTCCCACGCGAAAGTGGGCGGGTGCAGCAGGTTGACCTGCGCGGGCGTGACCTCGACGCGCTGCTGATATATCGTTCGTAATCGGATCTGCCTGTCAGCGCCGCGGGGGGCGGGCGGCGGCGCCAGCCAGCTCAGAGCCCGTAGGAGTTGAAGACTCAGCCTGCAGTTTAGGGCCACGGGAATGCCCGACCGCGCGCAAGTTCTCATCCACGCCTGCGACCAGGCTGGAGGGCCTGATCAGCTGGACGCCGTCCACGCCTAAGAGCTCCACCTGAACCCTATCTCCGACAAAGCCACACACTGCCCACCAAGCCATTGAGAGCCGACGTGAACAAGCTGTGCGAACGCACCAAGTCTCCCACTTTGCACTTACCGCCTAACGAGGCGAAGCTGGAGCCGCCCAGGTCGTTGCCGGCATCCGGAGGCGCATCTATCGAGAGCTTGACAACCAACGCCTTGATCTGCGCCTCTAGGTCGGCTCGAAGCTTAGCAGTTTCAGCGCTCGCAAGAGAAGCGCACTTCTCCGCCAGACGACGCTGGTGAGGCAAATGTTCAATGATGAAGTCATCCTTTAGCTTGTCAAGCGGCGTCGCCAATGTCTGGGTGGCCGCCTCCAGTATGTTGGACTGCAGATCCTCCAGCTTGGGCGGCAAGCGAAGGTTGAGAGAGGCTTCCATCGAGCGAGCGAGTTCACCCTGCAAGTGCTTGACTTGAGCGGACAGGGCAGCTGTCGTGTTTTCGACGGCGGTCTGCAAAGTGGAGTAAGACAAATTCGGGATAGCCACAACGCGGAGCTGTTCTAACTCCTAGAGAAACGAAACAACAATGCAGTCCCAAACGTCGAACAATTGTTGCATATAACAAGTGTCAAACGTAGCATGTCCACAGCGCTCCGAACTATAACGTGGCGCCACAATGTTTTCACGATCGCTCATTCCACCATAGAAGAACAACGACGAATTTTTGCCGTCATCACTGCGTGCATCCCTGAGGCACGAATTCAGCAACTTGAGGGTTGAATTTGGCATCAACTGGTGGCAAACCCTGCACATGACATAAGGCGTTGAAAATGCTAATGGCTTGAAGTCCCGATCCTATACAAGGCACAGGGCCCACCATGATCCTACCGCTTCCACCTTTGTGCCTCCTGCGGCGCCAGCAGAGTGAGGGGAAGAAACTGCACCATTGAGAATGTTTCACCGCAACAGCTGCCGAGCACACGAACCCGACCACGAAGAAACATACTCGCAACGCACTTCGAGGTAAACTCCCGTCCAGCAGTCGCCACCGCACACGAGTGACTCGTGAGTTGAACGCCTATCAAGAAAAGTCGATATGGGGTCGAAGAGGAGGAAGCAACGAAACAGAGGCATAATGATAGCACCACGTCAGCAGCCCACAGGCAACATCGCGGGGAAACGAGGAGAGCCATGCCGATCAACTACGGATTGCGCAGCGATGTCTTGACAAGTCTGGCTTGAGCCAAAGTGGCTGCGGACTCTCTCTCTCTCTCTCTCTCACACTCTCTTTCTATACATATATACATGTACACATATGTATTCATATGTGCAGAAAACTTCAGCGCCCATAACGGGAGTGGCCCAAGGGAGGGAGAAACAGTATGAGGGAACAGAGAGGGATACTCCAGGCCACACCTGCCTTCGCTCACCGCACCCCGCGATGCGCGGTTACCGTCGTGCCCTCTCGCCGCCGCCCTGGAGAGAAAGGAGAGCTCTCCAGCTATCTTCGCGCCCCTGTGGGTGGCCTAAACAGTTCGAGTAGGAGAGAGAAAGAGAGAGAGACAACAAAAAAGACAGAATTCGAGTAGGAGAGAGAGAGAGAGAGAAAACAAAAAGAGAAAGAAATAAAGAAAAAGAGAGATAGAGAGACACACAACAACAACAACAAAACATACAACTAATGACACGACACAGCAATCGCAACAGCACACCAAACACGCATTAATAGTTTTGAGCAACCTGCTTTAAGCTGCTGGTTTTAGAGGCCCCTCACCATGTCGGCAAAGTGTCTTTTGAGATGCGTCGTTGATCTGTGCGGACCAGGGCGCTGAACTCCGCAAAACAATCGCGGCACACACGCGAACAAATCAACACGACAGCGCCCATCGGCTCCCGCTTGGTTGTCGTCGATTCCGTTTTAGAGTCGTAAAGAGCTGAACGACTTCTGCCGTCCGTCCGACTCGCGCTGGAGCGGCCACGACTTGCTCCACATTTCCCTGGAGGTCTCGGGGCTTACCAAACCTTACATGGATTTACCAAGCTCTACCTGGAACTACCTCGATTTATTTGCATCTACCTGGATTTACCCGGCTTGATCCTCACAAGTCGATCGGCGAAAAGTCGTCATGCCCCTTAGGGGTAGAAGACGAGTAGGACGAGGAGGAGCTGGCTGGCTGGTCTCGCGCGCTTCGTGCCGCGGGGAGCGCGGAGCGCGATCGACTGTCAACGCACCCCCGACGGAGAAAGAGCAGGAGGAGGAGGAGGAGGAGGAGGAGGAGGAGGAGGAGGAGGAGAATGAGGAGGAGGAGGAGGAGGAGGAGGAGGAGCGCACGTCGCCGTGGGGGGGCGTGGTGCGTTTAGACATGAAAGGCGGCGCACGCGGCGCATTGGGCCCGCAGGAGCATCTTCTCGAAGACGGAGGAGGAAGAGAAGGAGGAGGAGGAGGAGGAGGAGGAGGAGGAGGAGGAGGAGGAGGAGGAGGAGGAGGGAGAAGGAGGAGGAGGAGGAGGAGGTTCTACAACAAATTAAAAGCAGGGCGTCGCTGTGCGATCGATCTGGCCTGGCCGCGAGAGCGGGCTTCCCCCCATCGCTCCTGCCGAGCGGGCGCCCTCGCCTACACTCGGAAAGCCCCGACGCCCCACGCCTCCGACTCCTGCAGAGTGGTTTGCGCGGACGAGGAGGTGGAGGAGGACGAACTGGAAGGAGGAGGCGGCCAGCCCGCCTCCACGAACCTGCCGCACAGCTCCTGGTCGGATAACTCTATGAGCCCGAGCGAGGTGCGCCAGCGCTGGAGCTGCGCCACCTGGCCGCGCCCCGTGCCGCGGCCGGCGCGGGCCCCCTCCTCCTCCTCCCCTTCCTCTCCTCCTCCCCCCTCCTTCTCCCCCCTCCTGTTCCTCTTCCTTCGCCTCCTCCTCCTCTTCCTCCTCCTCCTCCTCGTCCCTCTTCCTCCTCTGCATCCTTGTTCCTCCTCCTCCTCCTCCTCCTCCTCATCATCATCATCATCATCATCATCTTTCTCCTCCTCCTCCTCCTGTTCCTTCTCCTTCTTGTCCTCCTCCTCCTCCTCCTCCTCCTCCTCCTCCTCCTCTAAGAGGGCTGGAAGCACTCCGCAGGCGACGAGACGGCGACGGACCGATCGCGACAAGGCAGTCCCGCACAGGGAGACTCAACTTCACGCAGCGCGGGCAAGGCGGCCGTGACCAGGCTGGCGGGAGCAGCGTATCGGGCAGGCGCTAACATGGATTAGGGGTCCGTGGATCTGGCGCGCGCACGCCAGATCCACGGATCGGGGAAGATACCCCACCGAAGCACGAAACCAATACCGCCCGATCTGGCGACGGGGCGCACCGAGATCGCACGGAAGCGGGACCCGCCGCCGACCCACGCGCCTCAATCCTTGTCTGCAATCACTCGGATGCAGAAAGGGAGGCAGCGGGGGGCCCACGCCCTAGGCCACCCAACTTCGCGCATCGCGCCCCGCTCTCGCGCCCTCGCGCCGCCCCACTGGAGAGGGGCAGCTCTCCATCCAACGCAAGCAGCGATGCGCACAGCGCTATTCGCGTCCTCGCGCCGCCACCCCTGGAGAGAGGCAGCTCACCAACCCAAGCTGCGTTCGCGACGCACGATTATCTTCGCACCCCTGGGGGTGGCCTAGGTACACAAGTTTTGATGTTGTCTGTCGGGGGTGGGGGAGGGGCAGGCCGCCTGACGCGTCAGCCCGCGCGCGCGAGCGGCTGGCCACACCACCCTGCCGTGGACGGGCCTCGTGGTGGCACTCAAGGCGGCGAGCGGGGCCTGCGCCAGAGAGCCTGCGCCCCAGTGAGCGCACGTCAGGACTTTTCGCGCCTGAAAGAACACTCCTCTTCGCCGTCTCGCTCCTGCTCCGCCTTCCTCTCCTCCTCCTCCTCCTCTTCCTCCTTCTTCTCCTCATCCCCCTCTGCCCTGTGCCTGAGGCCATCCAGTGTGTCCGCCGTCGGCCTGCTAATTGACGGTCGGCCACCGACGTCAAACGGCTGCGGAAGGTACGTCACGAGACACGGAGACGGGTGAAATCGCCACCACACCGTTTGAGATATTCCCCAGAGCCGTCGTACAAGTTTCGTGCAAGTCAGCTTTCAACAGCGGTTCCAGAATGCGTAAACATCAGCAACCACAGACATACATTTGTACATGTCGATATAACTATAAAGGTATAGCTCTTTCGATATCTGGCCAATGCTGATCGGGCTAAGTCTTGTATAGTGTATTTCCCTGTCGAGCTGTCAAGCTATCGTTAAAAAGTTGTGCCCGAGTTCAGGTAACCATTAGGGCCGCCTGGTGGCGTGAACGAAAATTTCTCTCCATCAAAGCGCACACCAATGGTGACCCAACACATGCACTAGGAGAACCCGGAATTACCTGAAGGCCTACCTGCAATAGGCGAGCCAACACGCGAGACCTTGACCAACGCAGGAAATTGCGCTGCGAAGCGGCCGCGGCGCCTACGGCTCAGGCAGCGGCGGCGGGGCCGCGCCGGCAGCAGCGGGGAGGGACCGCCCTACGGGCCGAACTGGCTCGAGAGGGCGCCCGGGACTCCTGCTACGCGGGACTGGCCCCCTGAAGGTAGAAACGCGGCGCGGAGGCGCCGCCGCCGCCGCCGGGGCAGCAGCTGGGGGGCGGAGGCCAACAGGCTGCACAGGCCGCATGGGCCCAGCCAGGCCCCCCGAAACACGGCCACCCCCCTGGGTACGCCTTCGGGCCTGCGGCGAACTGGCAGGGTACCGCGCGGAAGGCACGAGGACGCGCGCGCGCGCGTGCGGGGGCCACGCGAAGCGCACGTGGCCAGAAACATGCGAAAACACATTAGCACAACACGCACATTCCGATCGTTGTCTTACGCCTCCCACGGAAAGCGCGAACCTGAGCCTCCCGCACGCACCGGGGGGAAATCGAATTCGAGTTCAAGCCGACTGAACGCCCCCAAACCTCCGACACGGCCAGCAGCGCCAGCCCGCCACCTCGGCCAGAGAGGTGCGACGACGGCGGGAGGGAGGACGGCGGGCGGCGGCGGCGGCGGAAGGGGCGGAGGGGAAGGGGCAGGCATGAGCAAAGGAGCGGGAGGGGAAAGGGAGGGAGGGGGGTAAGAGAAAGAGAGAGAGAGAGAGAAGAGAGACGGGAAAAAACAAAAACAAACGAGAGCGAGAAGAATCGTCGACGCTCTTCTCCCGGCAGCTACACGGAACCATGGCGGGGCCACTTTAGTGCCCGGCGGCTCCACGACGTCCACGGGCGCAAGGTTTGCCGGCCGAGGCAATCTACACGGTTACTCTCGGACGGCACGTAGCGCAATCCCACCGCCGCCTGGGAGCGGGCCACGGCGTGCCAGCACGCGCCCGCAATGGAATTCAAGCCTGGTCTCTTGGACCAGCCGGAAATGAGGATATCTAACGCAGCGGCGCTGTCGACAAACAATAATACACGCGCCGAACGAAGCTCGGGCCCCCACGTCTGCCACGCGGCCGTGGCGGCCAGGAGTTCAAAAGCGTTGATATGCGTTCTCCTACAGTGTTACCGGCGTAGCCACCTGCGAGGTACGAAACCCATGGCATACTCTCGCGAACCTGACTCACGCCAGAAAACACCGACCCCGACGCCTCCGTCGCCGGCCGCGTTGGTATACACCAACACATCGAACAAAGGCTGCGCCAGCTCCGCCGTCATGCGGCCCATGCTGGGACAGGCCTCTGGCAAAGCAGCCCACCAACGGAAGCACGATCGCAACCGCTTCGTGAGCTTCCAAGACCCATGGGAAGACTGGCGCCAATACAGCGGCCTGATGTAAAAACGACCCTCCCGACCGAACGCCCGCGAACAAGCGAAGTTGAAGCGGCCGGCAAATTTGCCCGCCAAGGCGGGGGAGAGTGAGCCTACGGCCAGGGATTCTTCAACTTCGCGACGCCACTCTGCGGCCTTGCGTGGGTGGAGGCGCCACTCCACGCCCTGTTGGGGGACAGACACGGTGCAGCCTAGCAAACTTATGCACGTGCACATGCCCTCTGACTTTCCCAGGTCTAAGTAGTCCCAACCTAACAGGGACATCAGTTCCTGGAACACCAGCTAGAGGCGCTGCGCGTGCGGCTGAAGGTACACCATGAAAGTGTCATCGACGCATACAAAAAGGATGAGCTTAAATGCCCTCACCGCAACTGCCTTGATGGCCTGGGCGCCACGCCACCACTCGAACACGCCCCAAAGGGCCCCGAACGGTTGAGTCAACAGTTCAAACACCTTCCATTCGTGATGGTCCGCATCCCAGACCAAGCACCACACCAGCCAAGACCGCTCCAGGCTGGGGCACACCGTTTTGAAACCGCCAACGTAGTCGTGTTTCCCGAGAAAAATCCCCGGGGGCCCAGCGGGCGGGTTGCGGCGCAAGCCGTGCAGCAGAGCCAATGCGGCGTGAGACAAATGGTCGTGTGTATCGTTCCACACGCGCTCAGTCATGAACGCGCAGGCGTTGACGCCGTTATTCTTGAACTTGTCAATTATCCGGATCTTTGCACGTCCTGTCGACGCTCCTCAATGCCGAACCGTTCAGATAGGAGAATCTGGCTCAGATCCACTTCGTGGAGAGCCAGCGGCGGCCCAACTTTCCCGGATGACACCTCCTGCAGATGCTTCCGCCGAACAACATCAGCGTGGGCGCCTGGCATCGCCCTGGCTATGGCGGAATCGTTAATACACTGGCACCGCTGGAACAACTCACCCAAGCACGGGGGGGCCCCTTCCCCGGCGCTGCGCGGCGACGCCAGGCCCGACAACTGGCGCCCAACGCCGCCGGCCCCTACAGGGCCAGACACCGGAAAACCCCGAGACATGTCCCCCATGAAATCGCTATATTGGTGGCCTACGGCCAGAAGTATTTCCAGCAGCAGGGGACCGTTGATCTTCCCTTACGTTGGTTTGATTTTCGCAATGGGAGAGTCGACCCACTGTTGGCGATTGCTCGCCAGAGCTCCCGGCGGGCGGCCACGCCTGCGGCGTCCTCTAGCACGTCCCGGATATTATCCGAAATATCGGGGCCCAGGGGAGGGAACGGGTCGCCCTGCGAGCGGGCCTCAAGTGCCATCCGAACAGGGTCTGTCGGGCCCGCTGGCGGGCCCCCTTCAGACGCGCGGTGCCGCGGGCGCTTTGCACCCTCCTCCAATACCTCGATGGGTGAAACCCCGACCCCCTGCTGGGCTGTAGGGGCCCTTCGGGCCCAACAGCTGCAAACGAGCGCACGCACGTGGCAACCACGGGGCTGGAGTCCTTGGGCGCGATACCCCAACCTGATCCTTACCAAGCAAAAAATCGAGTTTCGAATACCTGCCAACAACCCGACCTCCTTGTCAGCCAGAGGGGGCAACAGCAAGGAGACAACGGAATCAATCCGAACACCGACCCTTCCCAACGAATTTTCTGAGACACTCAACGGGTTTACGTCTGCTGACAAACTAGAACGGGCGCAACCGCGGCACCGTAGCAAACCTGTCCTTCGCATGCGGCTGAGAAATGGAATCCAAGTCCCGTGCCTAAGCGCCGTGAATCGCGAGGTAAAGATTCGCGACACAGAGGACCCCAGGGGAAGAGGAGGAAGAAGGCGGAGGAGACGAACAAAAGGAAGTAGCATACCCCGTGCAAGCTACCGTGTCAAGCTGCGCACAGGGGAAGAGACTAAGACCAGTAACGAGGTCTCTTTCCTGAGCTGTTGGCGATTCGAAGACTTCGGCAATCTCCACGCCAGCTCGGCATGTCCTTTGCAACACAACGAGGAGGATGAGG